GTTTAAGTATTAAAGGACACAAAATTGCATTGTCGGAGAGGAAATTCAATAGCTTCATGCGGCGTTAGAATGAAAGTAATAACATGTTACACTTACGGATTAGACATTTTGTCCTATCAAGAAAAAAGGAGAAAAGTATTTGAAAAGAGTACCTGTAAAAAACATTATTTTTTTCCATTTCTAATTAATTAGACCAGTTCATTTACATACAAATTACAGGGCAGAGGTTAAATTCATGATCTTGGAATACAGTGTCCGTGTGCATGTGTTCGGTTAATGGCATGGGTCAAGGATCTTTTCTGGGCTGAAATGGTCAATCAGAGGCACACATTTGTGATGTTGCCAGCTTTTTTTCCATTACATTTTGGCTGTAATTGTTTTATAGTTTTTCTTTTTGTCGTCTTCCCTTTGTACCATTTAAATTTTCCTTGGCCTGTTCATTTATTGCCTTAACTCACCTTCTCTCTCTCTCTCTCTCTCTCTCTCTCTCTCTCTCTCTCTCTCTCTCTCTCTCTCTCTCTCTCTCTCTCTCTCTCTCTCTCTCTCTCTCTCTCTCTCTGTCCCATCCTCTCCCTACTGCATTTTGCTAATCATTAGCGGATGTGGTCGCGGCGTATTCATGAATCCGCTACGGAAAATCGACCCAGCATGATACTGAGATGCCCTGTGCAGAGCCACACCCATTCAAGGGCACATCATTTGAAAAGTAAAATATTGCATATTGCTTTCGACAATTAGGGGTTGTTTGTACACATGTGTACTTGAATCTTAATTCATGGGTGGGGTTTTGTCTGTTTGCTTTTTTTTACGGATTCGTTACAAGCGTGTTCTTGTAAATTTATACTATAGCTGCTACAAAGTATTGGTAATATTGATGATTTTCTGTCTCTTATGCTAAGAGGTTCTCAAGGTGACATTACTTCTTCCGTTACTTTTCCGTAACCCATAATTCAGCTTCGTTGTTATGGCTTTGTTGAAACCTGAGTACTCTGCCTGGTTTGTTTTCCAAACCTGTATCCTCCTTCCCTTTCTCATCTCCCTGTCTCTCTCCCCCGCAGGTAGTAGTGGTGGTGGCAGTCGCGGCTTGTGTCCTGCACAGCCCCGAGGCCAGGCCCACCCAGACGTCTCCATCCAAAGCCGCTTCTCAGCCCTCCTCCCCGAAAACCTCCGTCCGCCTCCAAAACCTGTCCCAGACGGTGAAGGGCGACCTCAACCGCGTGTGGAACTCGCAGCTCGACCAACAGCGGGCCAAGGTCAACCTGCCCGATAACACAGTCAAGTTCTTCGACCGCCCAGGCGAGGGCCGCTATCTCTACGGCTTCGAGGCTGGCGACGACGGCCGCACGCACATGCAGGCCTCCGACGGCAAGGGCCAGACCGTCGGGAAATACTCGTACACCGACGCCAACGGCAAGGACGTCGAGGTGCACTACGTGTCCGACGACAGCGGGTTCAGGGTGATCAGCAACAACCTTCCCGAAGACACCGACGACGTGAAGAAAGCCAAGGAGGAATTCTTCAAGTTCTTCGAGGAGAGGAAAGCCGCTCATCAGGCAGACAAAGACAACGCCGCCGTGGTCGAGATGATCGGAAAGTCGGCCGTTCCCGTGGCCGCTGCGTCGACGGCGGCCAAGGCTGCTGTGGCGGAGGAGGAAGAGGAAGGCGACGGAGGGGAAGAAGGCGAAGGAGAGGAAGGGGAAGGAGAAGAAGAGGAAGAAGAAGAGGAGGAAGAGGAAGAAGGAGAGGAGGATGAGGAAGAAGAGGAGGAGGATGAAGAGGAAGAGGAAGAGGAAGAAGAGGATGAGGAGGAAGATGAAGACGAGGAGGAGGAAGATGATGAGGAAGAAGATGAAGATGAAGAAGAAGACGACGACGAAGACGAGGAGGAGGAGGAAGATTCGGATGAAGAGGAAGAGGAAGATTCAGATGAAGAGGAAGATTCGGACGAAGAAGACAGCTCTTCCTCATCAGAAGAAGACAGCAGCAGCAGCAGCAGCAGTGAGGAGGACAGCGATGAGGATGAGGAAGACAGCGATGAGGATGAGGAAGGAGATGATGATGACGAAGAAGATGAAGAGGAGGAAGGCGAAGAAGACGATGAAGAAGAAGATGATGATGAAGAAGAGGACGAGGACGACGATGAGGACGAAGAGGATTCCGACGAAGGGGATGACGAGGACAGCAGTTCGTCTTCCTCCTCCTCCTCCTCCTCCTCTTCCTCAGAGGAAGATGACGAGGAAGAGGACAGTGACGAGGAGGACGAGGACTCCATGAGCGAGCAGAGCTTACTCAGCAAGTTCCAGAAGGACTTCGGCCGGAGACTTTATACCACAAAGATCCATTACCCCGGCACAGCCAATACGATCTGATAGGGAGAAAGGTCCTTTGTATTTTCTTTTCCTCAGATTTTGACCTTATGGAAGTCGAAAAAGGGAGAAAATTAAGTTCCGAAGTCACGTATCTTCTTGGTATCAGCTGACTCCGGTCGATTTATTTTTCT